AAATAGAAAGGCATGTAAAGCAAGGATGTGTCTTCTCACCAGACTTATTCAACTTTTACAGTGATGAAATCTTGAGAGAAATAAAAGTCCTACCAGGATTTATTATTTGTAAACACAATTTTAGCATAAAATATACAAATGATACAGTGTTGATAGCAGACATATGGATAGGGTGCCAAAAGGTTCCTAGTATTATTTATCAGAACTTCAGAATAAAACTAACTGAATCAAAGGTATAAATAATATATATTTATTTTATTTAGATTGGCATAAGTCCTTTGTAATTCAAACTAGCAAAAGTTTGTTTATGTCAGATCTTGGTAGCAGTCAGGAGAAAGTTTGTTACAGTTCAGTAGTTTGTAAGTAAAACTTTGGTAGTAATTGTCATCTTAGAAATACGTGTAGTGTCAATCTTTTCTTAGCTCTAAGAAAGGCGGAATAATGTCTTAAGCAGATGACCACTTAACTTCTTCACACAACACGCATGGCTGGTTTCTCTGACATTTCTTTCTATCCTTCTGGCTCTTGATTATTTATATCATTTTTGACAAGGCTCCGAGACTACTGGCATGAAACTTGGTTACAGTTAACAGCCAAAGTCACTTTCTGTTAAGCTTTTTGATTGGCCAAATTTTTCTGACATTCCTTTTTTCCATTTTTTTTTTATATGGAGGAAGTTATGCATGGAACCTCTCTTATTTTGGTAAATTTCTAGTAACAAACAACTAGACTCTGGTTCAGCAAACTTCCACCATTTTTTGGCTGAATCCAGTTTTTTCTTCTTCCTGTTTTTTATTTGCAGGTTACCATCTTATTAGTTGAGAGAGAAGTAGAAAGAAAGAGAGAAAAAGAGATAATGGCTTTAAAGGAAAACAAATGCCTTATTTTAATTGTAATTCTTTTTTTGTTTATATATTTTATTTTCATATTTTATCTTATTTTTTTTATTGGGACTCACTATAGACACAAAAAGGAAACTACAGGAACACTTACATAAGGTAGTAAATGAAAATAAGAAGAAAGGAGTAACTGTCAATTGTAAGAATTCAGAATGTATGATTGTCAACAAGAGCAATAGCCAAAGATGTAAATTCCAAATTGGAGACAGAAACAAACAGGCATAGAAAATGTCCTACCAAAATCCAAAGGTGAATTTAGATAGAAAAATTACCTTTTAAAAACTAAACAAAGTATTAAGAAACAGGAAAATTTGTTAGAAACAAAGAATGCTGAACTGTTATATAATATCACTTTTGTAGTGGACCCCCTGGAGAGGGGCATGATATAACGTGGCCTGTTCACCCCAATAAGGCATAGAGGTCAAAAAAGGTCCACTAACATTTATAATTAAAGACATGAAATCTGACATGTCAACAAGAGGATAACAAACTTAAAATTTAATACAAAATCTATTTAGAATATAGACCAGAGTACTTGTAGGTTAAATTAGCATGTAAGTCCACAGTTAGAAAGTTAAATTCACATGTCAGGTGAAAGTGTTGAAAAGTCGCTGGCTAAGTTCAACAATGAACCTTCCGTAGTATTTAAACCAAAGTGTATGAAGTAAGTTATTTGAAGTCCAAATGATATAGCCAAAGAGAAGAAAGTTTCATTCAAATATCTGGTTCTGTCATTGAGTAGTTGCTGGTCAAATCCAATGTCCGGTGCTGGTGATGTGTAGCTGCTGGTCAAGTACTATGGCAAAATTTCTGTAGTATTATAACTGAAATGTATGGAATAAGTCTGGATGATATACATGCAACAAGTAGGGACCAATGTGTAGCCAGAAGTTTGGGGCAGTTGTAAGCCTATCATCCAAGTGAGCTAGGGCGAGACAGTGATGCTGGAAGTAGGGACCAATGTGTAGCGAGAAGTTTGGGACTGTTGTAAGCCTATCAAACAAGTAAGTTAGGGCGAGACAGTGATGCTGGAAGTAGGGACCAATGTGTAGCCGGAAGTTTGGGGCTGTTATAACCCTATCAACCAAGTGAGTTAGATCGAGACTGTGATGCTGGAAGTAGGGACCAATGATTAGCCAGAAATTCAGGTCTGTTGTAAACCTATCAACAAAGTGAGTTAGGTCGAGACAGTGATGCTGGAAGTAGGGACCAGTGTGTAGCTGGAAGTTTGGGGCTGTTGTAAGCCTATCAAAAAAGTGAGTTAGGTCGAGAAAGTGATGCTGGAAGTAGGGACCAATGAGTAGCCAGAAATTCAGGTCTGTGGTAAACCTATCAACAAAGAGAGTTAGGTCGAGAAAGTGATGCTGGAAGTAGGGACCAATGAGTAGCCAGAGATTCAGGTCTGTTGTAAACCTATCAACAAAGAGAGTTAGTTCGAGACAGTGATGTTGGAAGTAGGGACTAGTGTGTAGCCGGAAGTTTGGGGCTGTTGTAAGCCTATCAAAAAGGTGAGTTAGGTCGAGAAAGTGATGCTGGAGTAATGTGTAGCCGGAAGTCTGAGGCTGTTGTAAGCCTATCAAAAAAGTGAGTTAGGTCGAGACAGTGATACTGGAAGTAGGGACCAATGAGTAGCCAGAAATTCAGGTCTGTTGTAAACCTATCAACCAAGTGAGTTAGGTCGAGACAGTGATGCTGGAAGTAGGGACCAATGTGTAGCTGGAAGTTTGGGGCTGTTGTAAGCCTACTAACCAAGTGAGTTAGGTCGAGAAAGTGATGCTGGAAGTAGGGACCAATATGTAGCCAGAAGTTTGGGGCTGTTGTAAGCCTATTAATTAAGTGAGCTAGGACGAGACAGTGATGCTGGAAGTAGGGACCAATCTGTAGCCGGAAGTTCAGGTCTGTTGTAAGCGTATCAACCAAGTAGTTAGGTCGAGAAAGTGATGCTGGAAGTAGGGACCAATGTGTAGCTGGAAGTTCAGGTCTGTTGTAAACCTATCAACAACGAGAGTTAGGTCGAGACTGTGATGCTGGAAGTAGGGACCAATCTGTAGCCGGAAGTTCAGGTCTGTTGTAAACCTCTCAACCAAGTAGGTAGGTTGTGACAGTGATGCTAGAAGTAGGAACCAATGAGTAGCCAGAAGTTCAGGTCTGTTGTAAGCAGGTTCATCAATGCAGATCAATCAAGTAAGTTAGGCTGAGATAGTAATGTGGAAATTAAGGACAATGCTGTAGCTGGACGTAGTCAAGGCTAGGAACACCAGAAGATAAGGGTCCGTGGTAGCCAGAAGGGTTTGTGGTAGCTGGAAGTTGTAAAGGCTAAAAATACTGGAAGTAGGGGTCTGTGGTAGCCAGAAGTAGCAAGGCCAAGAATGACGTAAGTAAGGGTCCATAGTAGTTGGGAATAAGTAAGGGTAAGAGTGCCAGATGTAAGCATGGATAGGAAAGCCCGACTAGCATCCAGTTGGCAGACAAAAAATAAATGGGAATGTAACTCAATACATAGCCTGTCCAAGCACCCTAGCCACAATGGCCAGGGGTCTGCGTTTCTCTTCCTCTGCGTCCTCCCTCTTCTGGGTTCAATGAGAAATCACCAGGTTATATGGAAAGGGAGTGTAAGCACTAACTGGTCCTGCAAAGTACTAAAAATCTCAAGAAAAATAAACTGAGATATCCTATGAAATATAAAAGTAGAAAAATGTTCACAAAGTGTATTACAACTAGTTTCGTAACACTGAAAGAACTACAAAGTCATTAAGCTTATTATAAATGTAAATGAACTTAAATTCAAGGGAGTGTGGCAACATAATGAAGAAAAGGTCAGGGTCATAGCGTCTGTCCATGGTCAGGTAGATCGAGTAGTGAAGGTTTATGATACTCTTCCTATACGGCAATAAATGCTGTACAATCTCCTTAGAGGTAACAGAAATGTGGTTTTACAGAAAGATGCTGAGAATAACATGTACTGAGCATGTGAGTAACAAGGAAATTGTAAGGAAAATGAAAACCAAATGAACGCTTACACTTAGAAATAAAAAAGAGAAATTTCTAAGATAGATAATAAGAAAAGAAAGATTAGGGAATTTGACACTCACAGGGCATATTCAAGGCAAGAGGGAAAATAGTGAGTAACTAATGTAACGAACATGTGTAAAGGGAGTGGAGGGAATAGTGCAAAGAAAAATCTTACTAAGAGCGACAAAGTTTAGGAAGTTGGGGAGAGCCATGACCTCCACGTCCTGAAGAGACACTGCGCATAGAAAAAGAGGAAGCAAGCTACATGTTCAGGTTTTAGTAAATATTTATACTTCATTAAAATCCCATAGGAATGGTTCGCAGTTAACAAAAAGCTTTCACATTGACTTAAAATTAAAAAAAAAATCTCCTACGACTATTTCAGAGAGCGACTTTTCAAATGATTTTTTTAAAATTATTCGATTTTCTAGTTGTTTTAAGAATGGACTCTCATTTTAATCTAATTGAACAGTGAACGAAAGTGTTTGGCATTTCTTGGGAAAATCTTTTAGTGTAAAAAAAAAATCCAAATCACTAAAAAATAAAATAAAATAAATAAAATTGATTGGTCTCAAAACTAGACAAAAACATTTTTAAAAACTTTCTTTTGTTAGTTTAAAAGTGAATTTATTCTAACAGGAGATTTGTATTATATTTTTTAATTTTTAGAAAGAAATATATTTTTATTTAAAAATATGTCTTTATTTTTATCACATAAACAAAATAAATAGGTTTCATTGTACAAAGTTGGAATTACTAATCTCCAAAAATGGGGCTATGATATTTCTGGGTTTTATATTTTTTATATTTAAAATCGGAAATTCAGCAAGGAAACAGAAGTGGAATTATAAAGAAAACAAAATGAATTATTCATTTACTTTAAATTAAAAAGGTACATCTTAGTTCAGTCATTGAGGAAAAAGAAATTCAACTGTCAATACTTCGTCTTTCATTGTGATTCCACATTTCGTTGTTTAGAACAACCTGGCATTACAACAAACAAAATGGCGACTTTATTGTGACCGTATAATATCGGTAACAACAAGAGAGGATTCCTAGGACGACACAAATACCTGCCCTGCTATACAGATGTTTGTGTCGCTCGTTTGTTTCCTACTCGAAGTTGATGATGATTATCCGGTGCCTTCATCCTTATTTTACAAAGGTTAGTCTTTGTTTTTCTTTCCCCTTTATTGGAGTCCGTCTTGTTTTGATCCTTAAAAAGGGAAAGCCGACAATTCTTTTTAGGTTCTTTTTTTTTCCTTATCCAAGAAAATTATTTTTCTTTTCAAGTAGACATGTACTGCGATTCTATTTTTCTTCTTTTTTCTATCGCACATGATTAAGTTCTTTGTGTTTTAAAACTGTTTTTTAGTCTTGTTATTTTTTAGAAACAAAGCAAATTCGTCTATTTCCAAATTTACAGAAAATATTTTGCTTCTATTTTTTTTAATCTTTTTAAATTAAATTTTAAAAGAAATTGATTATTTTTATTCGAAATAATTATCATTTCTAAGTGTCAGTATGAAAAAAAATTATAATTTTTGGTTTATTTAAATAATAATGTTATTAAATTTCAAATAAGTTTCGTACGTTTAACAATTAAGTTTTTTTGTTTTTTTAATCAAGAAACAAAACCAAAATTGTTTGCAACTAAAAGTAACTGTAGCCTTTTAAAAACTATTTTCTTATAGTTTCCATCTCTTTTTAAAACTCAATTATTTTTCTAATCCGGAAAACTGGATGAGAAAATTGTTTATAAAACAAACAACAAAAACTCAAAAAAAAAAAGAATTTCTCAGACATTCAGTCAAGAAGATAAAAATAAAATTATTTTAAAATAAATTAAATTACTTCTTTTATTTATCTTTTACTGTAAATCTTTATTTTTTTTTCAAATGCAAAATTCTAATTTTCTTTTTAAAACTTTGTTGTCTTTGTTTACGACATTTTTACTTCCTTACGTGTTTTATTTTTAAATGCCTTCCTTTTTTTGTTTATTACGACTTTCCTTTTTTGCTTTTTCCTTCGACTTTTCTGACTTGTTGAATATTTTCATCCTTTTTGCAAAAAATATTAGCAAATGACAAGAACAGGAATATACAATTATTCATAGAATTGGAATACTAAGAAAAATGAAATTAATTGTCTAAGACGTATTTTTTTAAATAATATTTTTACAAACTACTTAGTAACTTAGTCCTTAACGATTTTATTTATTTTAATGTTTAAGATCCTACAAATAAATTCAAGGAATTACTTTTAAAAAATTAATTTTTAGCTTTTTCTTTTTGCCTTTTGGGGTGGACTCCATTCTCTGAAAATATAAAGATTCTCGTTGAATGTTGCCAAAAGATTTTGCCTTAAATGATAAAATGCTTGTCTGGTTATAAGTAAAATTGTCTTCATGTATAAAAAGTAAAACATTTATCTATAACGTTCAACCTTTAAAAAAAAAAAGTGGTGAATTGTCTGTTGAATTCTTACTCAATTTCTTTTTGTCTTCAAACTTTCTGAAAATGATCTGTGGCCACTGACGAACTAATTAAAAATAAAACATCGTTCCATGTTAACAAATAAATAGTTTATTATTCTCTAATTTACCATTTATAGAATAAAAATAACTAGATTTTCTTTACTTTTTTTTTCTTTAAAACTTGTTTATTTACTGTCACACGATGCATATGAGCTTTTTTTCTTATTTTGTGGCATCTTGCTGAAAAAGAAAAAAAGAGACCTGCAAATTATTCCTTCATGGTGTGAGAAAAATATTTTTCCCATGTTTTTGCATTTGCTTATTTTGTTTCCTAACAAATAACAATGAAAACTTTCTCAGTGTTTCCTTATTTTTACCTTGATTTATCGATCTTTTTAAAAAAAATGACAATTATGTACAAAATGCGTCACATGGCCGAAGGCGTTATTAAGACAAAACTCAAAGGCTGTTAGTGTTACTGTTTGAGTGTTCAGTGTTATTTTATACATTTTTTATTTTCGCCTTTTAGTAAAATATAAATCATTCATTAGTCCTATAGCAATTTCTAATCACTATCAGAAATTTACTGTTAGTGTTATTAGTCTCTCGTATATTGCGAGTTTTTATTATCATTTCTTATTTTTATGCAGAATAAAATTAGGAGGTTGCACTTACCCAGGTAATTTTTTTCTAGAGAGGTAATTCATGCAAAAGATTCTGAAGTCGCACTATGAAGTCGGCTTACACGAAGTAGTAGATATAGTATTGTAAGGTAAGAAGAGTTCAAATCTCGAAGATGGCAAAGGAAGGAGTGTTTAAAAAAAATTCCTCTCACAAAACTGCATGGTTCTCTAATTAAAAAAAGAGTATTTGATCGATGTTTTTCATTAGTTGAAATTTTCTGATCTTTGTAATGGTGGGGGGATAATGCATAAAGTTTTGTTTTTTAGATACTCAGTTTTCTTAGTTATCATATTTTTTTTCTGTCTATTAAATGTCTCTCAAACATTTCTGAAATTTTCAGTAACTCCTTGTGTGTGTACACTTCATTCATTGATTCTCATGTAACATTTAAAGAATTGTCACTGAGCAACAAACTTTACATAAGAATTTATTTCTAAAAATATGCATTTTTTTTCACAATATGAATTTTTTTCTGAAAATCCAACTTTTGTTTCGGTTGAAAATAAGAATATTGTTGTCTTCGTTTTCCTTTGTATTTCATAAGCCTTCCTGATTCCATCCCTAATTTATATAAACAAACTGTCAAACACAAGAAGACAATATCTGGTTAATTAGAACTTAGTCTTAAACTAGTTGATAGGTAGATGCAACATATTTACCAAAAATAGTCAAAAATGTAAAAAATAAATAATGAGACGGCATCGAGAGTTTTTTTTTTTTTTTTGTTGACTTTTTACCGTGAAAGTTTCAATGATTGGTGTTTTAAAGCCTTTTTTAAAAGGACATTTTGAGTTTTCTCTTGTACTGTACTTAGTTCTCTCAATAAATTATCAAGAAATATGTTTCCGTTCTACGTTAATTTAATTTTCTTTTTCAATTGTAAGGATATACTACAATGTCACGTGCTGTTTATTTATCCCATACAAATCGTGAATGCACTGAGTTACCTCGCTTGAATCTATCAAAATACATTTACTTAAATTAGTCGTCAATCATTGTATGTTAACCAGGTTTCTTTAAAATTAAGGCACCTATATTTAGACAACAAAACTTTTACTTGCTTACTTATTTTATTACTTCATTTTACTTAGTTATTGCTACGTAACGCAAACAATGGTCAGTGCATTATTTAAACAACCGTGTAATAATCAACAGTGCCTTTTTATAGCCATCTGTCGATTATTTTTATTGTCAAGTTTTTGCTTTTAAGTAGTGAAGTAATCGTTCTAAGTAATGCGTCTAATTGAAATAAATGCTGCTTAATTTGTTGCAATTATTAAAGGGTGTTGACAGTTATTATCCTAGTTTCTTAACTTTCACAGTATCTTGGAACTTTTCTATCATGAAACTGCGTTATGAACTAACTATTGCTACATAAAAATACTTATAAAAAAACAATACAAGCTGAAGCAGCTAAATTTCTTAACGATGGGTTTCGCTTTCTTTGATCTTTATTGATTATCAAGAAGCTCTTTATGTGACAGTTCTTATAGCTGACCAGAAATTACATAATTTACGAAAACTAAGTGAATGCATTTTTCTTTTAACTACCTAGTAATTTTTATAAATTAACATATTTTCTTTTCAGCAATTATTTCATATTATTGACTTATTTTTAGACTTACTTAGGTTTTTATTTTAAGAAGCTTTATGAAATTTGCTACTTCCTTAAACAAAAAATTAATTAATTGAAGTATGACCCAGCCAAACTAAAATAAACACCGTTTAGTGAAATTGAAATAGCAATTAAGAAAAGTAAAACGTTTTCTTTTTATATATATATTTTGAAGGGATGATTTAAAAGGACGTTAATGATGAAACAGAACTGAATTAAGTGAAAAATAATTGCAGTTACGGCAGACGACACTTAAATCACGTGACCTTTTTAAGGATTATGTCATGTATTCCCATAGGTAGAAATTAGGAACTTTTTTTTTTCTTCACTAAAAATTATTTAAAAAAATACTTGGATACAAACGGCACGGCTGTTATGAGCTTTTCAAATTTTGCTTCGTAAATTTATTTTCACTTATCACCAAATTGCATTCTTGAAAGCAATTAAGAATTTTAAATGATTTTTGAACTATTAATTAAAATTTTTAAAAAATTCTTGTAAAAATTTATTATTCATCGAAAAAAATCTATTTCTTCAGACAATACAATATCCTTAATCTAACTTATTTGCAAAAAAAAAGCAATTAAAAAAGCTTTTCTAATAATGTCATAGTTTTTTTTACTTTTAGTTTAAGGATGTTCACTGTTTTCGCGGGAAAACAGCATATAGCGTAATGAAAATGCCACAAACTTAACTAAAATAAAGTTTTATCGTCAAAATGCTTATGTTAAGATGAAAGACCAAAGTATTTTTTAATTATTTTTTTTAATCCTTTCTAACACGTTCGAAATTTTGGTTAAATTCTTGTTTTGTTTACGTCATCGCGGCGTCACAGAAAATAACATATTTATTATTATTTTTTTTTTTTTTTTTTTTTCCGTTGAAAACATTGATTTGGAAATTCTTGTAAAAATCAAGTAATTGTCCGATTTTAATGAAATTTTCAGGACTTATTCACAAATCAATGAAATTATTTTTTGAATATTCTTTTTAGAAAATTTTGATAAAAAATATTTGTTTTTTAAATATGTTACCCCACATTTACTTAATTTAATGAAATTTCGCCCAAAACATTTTTGGTTCCTGAATTTTTTTTTTTTTTTTTTTTTTAAAAGTAGGAGTCTTCAAAGATGGTAAATCACCTACTTTTTTTTTCTTTTTTTCAAATTTGAGCTATTTAACTGAAAATCTGCTCTGAATTGAAACATAATGAATCCAATAAAACCTAAAACTATGATATTACTTAATTAGAAAAGCTTTTAATTGCTTTTGTAAATCTTACTTATTATAAAACGCAGATTGTGTGTGTGTGTGTGTACGTTTATATATTGGATCGGATTTCCTACATTTTTCAACTGATTTCAACAAAACTTCACAGGACTACGTAAAA